AAAAAAAAAAAAAATAGTTTAGAAAAGGAGAGAGAATGTCAATTACAGGTGGTGGAATATTAGAAGAAAATTTCTCCTTTGCAATACAGTTAGGCAAACTTATACTCTTTTCCAACATCTGAAAGCGAGTCTCTCAAGTTAAATCTTACAGGGTTAGGCAAACATTCCTTTTCTTTAAAAGTAACAGCATAAACACAAAAATACCACTGGTCCTATGTCTTCCTTACCTGCTATAATTCCTTAATAATGCCAACATTATCACAGCATAAAGCAAATTTCAATTTCATAACACACACTCAAATTCCTTATGGCAGCATTTCCCTTCTACTAAAGCACAAGCTAGTATTTTGATTAAAAATACTTGAAGCATTTTCCTACTCTATCTTCTATCAACATATGCCAAGCAGGAATCCTAAAAACAAGTAACTCTGACATTATCCAAACTATATGTGCTTATGTTCTTGGCTCTTGACATACTCTTATTCTTTTGCTCATTTAATCCTCGTAACAATACCATAACATAAATATTGTTCTCCCCATTTAACAGATGGGGAAACTGAGATATTCAGAGATTAAGCAACCCTTCAAGAGGAAGGGGAAGAAGCAGACATGAACTTAGGTAGCATAGCTCCAGAAAACAGTCTGTAGCCAACTCATATATGTCCTTACCTGAAAATTCTGCATAGCCATAACGTAGTGTCTGAAAGTATCCTGGTCATAAGTTTTCTAAGCTTCTCTTTGTCCAGAGTCGAAATATAAGCTCCCAGACTATGCCCCAGCAAAGCTATATGACCTTGTTCTCCAATATTCTGGATTCTGTTAATCAAAATGAATTATATTAAAAGAGCATTATTCAAAATACGAATAAAGCAATAAAACAAAACCTAGAGACACAGTATTTTCACAGAAATCTGTCAGACTTGAAATCCACTTAATGGCCTAGAAGGCAAAAATTCAGATAAATGTAAGAAATTTATGTATATAAAGTACTGATAATCCGGGGAACAAAAAGATTTTAAAAATTCAAATCCTAGGAGATAAATACCCTTATTTTTGTTGAATATCTACTAAATATACAAACTGTGAATAATTTTCTCTCATTTTTTTTGTTTTTAATTAAATGCCAGCCTAAGAACTATGGAGCATAGTGCTGAGGTACACTGGGCAGAAAATAAGTTTTTCAGAGACTCATTAGATGAAGATCAATTCCCCACACTGAACAGCTGTTTATAACAATACAGCAAATTCAAGGGGAACCAGGTATTGTTTTATGCATAATTAAAATGGAAGGACTAATTTCCCTTATAAAGAGTAAATGTAAATTGTAAGAATAGAACCAAAAAATGAGACAGGATACCGGGCAAAGGATATAGTTCATAGTAAAGGAAATATAAACGGGCCTTAAAACACATTAAAAAGACATTTAACATGATTCATAAGAAAAATGTAAACTAAAATTATGCTGACATATTTCTCACCTTGCAGCTTGGCAACAGCCCTTAGGTCTGCTAGGAGCCTTGCAGGCAAGGTGTGGGCAAAGATATTGTCATGCACTGCTGGTGGTGCTATAAACTGGCATAATTCCACGGAAGGAAATTTGGCAATATCTATCAAAATTACAAATATACAAACTATCTGGCTCAGAAAACCCACTTTTTTTTTAAAGATTTTATTTATTTATTTGAGAGAGAGAATGAGATGAGAGGGCATGAGACGGGAGGGTCAGAGGGAGAAGCAGACTCCCTGCTGAGCAGGGAGCCCGATGCGGGTCCGGGATCGTGACCTGAGCCGAAGGCAGTGGCCCAACCAACTGAGCCACCCAGGCGCCCGAGAAATCCCACTTTTAAGACTTTAATCTCCAGAAACACTTGCTTGCATGATAAATGACACACATACAGAGTTACTGGCGGCAGCAATGTTTGTGACAGTAAACCTGAACAGGAGACATGGTTCATTCATCCAAAGTAAAACTAAACAGTTCTTACAAGTGAAAGCTCCTTGTATACTGATAAATGATGAACTCTTAGACCTAAATGAAAAAAGCAAGGTACAGAACAACATAGAGAGTATTTACATACTGGAGGGAACGTAGACTTTGCTTATGAACACATACACATAAAGGATCTCTGAAGAATACAGGAGGACAAGCTGGGGGGGGTGGGTAGAGTATGGAGGAAATGCCCCTTTTCATCCAAGGCCTCGTAATTTTAGAATTCACATCAATTTTGGGTTCAGGTAACATATGCCATCACATCACCGACTGAAAATTGCCTTTGTAGACTGTTTTCTATCTTTTGAAATTTGAAAAAGGAGAATGATTACTTCTGTCCCCCCACCAAATTAAAACAATTAACCATGAAACTAAATAAATAGCTAAGTGAGATGAATAAAAATAAATCGATGATTCACAGACAACGTGGCCTGCCACCAACAGATTCAGCTGTGGCAATTCTTAGCAGTCCAAAGCGGAAGTATGAAGCACATAGCAGTATTCTCTGGTCCCTCTGCCAACCCTTCTCTAAGACATGATGCCAGAGAAACTACAGGATTTAGTTTGAGTGAGTGCCTTCCTTTTGCAAAATATGTTACCTACAATATGTTACCTACCTGAAAAGGAAGAAATGAACACTGCTTTAACATCATACGTAACTGTGAATGAAACACAGCTCTGTTTTGGCAACTTGTAAGAATGCAATCACCGTTTAAAAAAAAAAAAAGAATGCAATCACTATCAAAATCAAGAACACATATACTTTCAAAGAACGGCTGCCAATCGTCCCGCCTTACCGGGCGCTCTGGGGCTCCTCATCTTCATCTCCATGCATCAGATTCTGGACTACCTGGAGGATGCTCACCATGTCTTGTCCGCTGCAGAAGAAGAAGAGGGCTGATGGACAGGTGGAAACAGCACACATTCCCCACCCCTCTATTTCCTTCACTTAAACCAGCCTTGATGAGGGTTTTTTTTTTTTTTTTAAGTGAGGAGCTATAAGAATGTGCTTGAGATACACTAAACATCTTTTAAAAATAAACCTCAAATTAAATGAATTTTCCATATAACCATGTAATTATTAAATATTCTATGCAAACAGGAGATTGATTTCTGAAAATTTCAGCAGTATTACTTCAGCACTACTTCTCGACCTGTTCATTTGAATCCAAGGAGAATATTTAATAAGCGTGTTAAAAGAACCAAAATAGTCTTTTTAAGATGCTGGAAGGTCACAGAAGGAGCAAGAATACTCCAGTGCCACTGGTGTGACTAGTCTCCTTCCACGGAGGAGTCTTGTCTGGCTGTTCTAACAGACTTAAACATGTAATGCAAGCATCGTTTTCTACCACCTCTTCCCCAAGCAGGGCAACTGGAGATCTGCTTAGAGTGCAAACGGATTTCCTTCTCTCCAAGATATGTTATTAAACGCTTCTTACGTGAGGGGTTGAAAACTTATAAGAATGCGAATGGCTAAAGTAGTAAGCAACGGCAACTTGTAATAACTGTAATATAAAAATATTATCACTCCGTTAATGAGAATACGACTAATAAAAAGTTCTCTTTGGAAAAAGCGGCACTGTCAAAACAATGCCCCAATGCCCTTCCTCTCCAAGGTGCTGCCCTTCATGCGAGAAGGGCTCTGGCCCTTGGACACTGTGGAGAGAGTGCGTGCTAGTCATGTGACCTTGAGCCAGCTGCTCAAACTCCCTAAGCCCCCTACACTACAGAATTTTGAGGACACAATCAGTGCACGAAACACATTTAACGCCATGCCTGGCAAAGCACGGTCTCAGATGTTGGTGTCAGCATTAAGTGTGACTACTCCTGCTCTGTGGCTTTAATAGCCTCCTATTCTGAGAACTAGAGATGCTCCTGCTAGTATCTCTTGTAGGGAAACTGCTGTGGGATTAGTAGAACCCTTTCTTTCCCTTCCGGAGTGTGGGAAGAGGGAACTGATAGAATTTGGTTCGTGCTTTCGGCTGCAGAACCCACTTCACATCCAAGGGCTTCAAATCAGCACGGTTAGGTGGCAAGCAGGAGTGCCCATCTTAAAATATTAGCATCTGGGTGTGTTAGATAGGACACTTATTGACACACTGTGGTCCTTCCTCCACACTTTTCTTTTGCAACCTTGTATATATTCACATTCAGGTCAAAGAACAATTGAAGGGAGTTGTACTGTTTACCTATGTGCAGTTTCCTGGTTATAAAAAAAAAAAAAAAGCTTGAGGGAAGCTGGGCTGGGACTTTAATTCCAGACTGAGTGCTAACATCCGGTGAACATTTTAGTTACATGGCTACTTCTTTTTCTGATATTTTCCCTGCTAGCTTAAACCACACACACTTGACAGATTTGCTTTAGTTGCCCCCAAAATAAATAAATAATCACTCTGCGTACAAATGATCGAAGTTGACACTTTCATTTTACTCTATTATAAAAATGATACATCTTATCAAATTAACGTATCTCTCACCATAAAGCGCAGTCTGAATAGATTACAGGTTTCAAGGATGAACTAAGTATGACAGTCGAGTTATATAATTATAAGTTTGTGCATCGCTTTTGAGTCATGAGGTTGTTAAATTCTGAATGGGAAATTAAATTAAATCCTGAATGAGAAAGGGGGAGAAGCAGGTAGATTCAGCATTATCACCAACCAGCCAATGGCATTCCGATTTTCTGATGTTACATATGGCACAGGACTCTCAATTTGCTTTGTGCTTATCACAACTAAAATTATCAATCAACAATGGTTTGAAAATCTCGATTTAAAGATAACACATAGCCAACTAAAAGTATGTATCTTCATTGCCACCTACCTGCCTTGGAGTGGCCCTGGAATATCTCCTGATATCTTCTTTCCATTTTCCTCCTCTGTTCTTCTAATTTAAAGAAAATAAAAAACTATTTGTTCTATCTTACCAAATTTCTAACATTTGAACACGCAAACATGTGACGATGTTGCCTTTAACCTCTTAGTAGCTGATGTAGGATTTGAAACACATTTATCACATCTCTTCCCCCATCTCTGTTGCCCTAGTCCCCAGTTTGGGGTATAGCTTGAATTTCAGGAAAAGAACATGAAACAACACTTTAACCCATTTCTTGGTTAGCTGAAGCTCTATATAACCTAAACGTACAGCAAGGAGTATTTACAGAATTCAAATCAATATGTTAAGTAAATGAAACTCTTAACGGGCAGAACTGAAAATTAGAAAAGTCCTGCCCCTCAATTTCAAAATCTTTTAATTACAAAGTACCTTCTACCCAAAACAAACACCATCTTTAAAGTCAGATGAAGCTAAGCTAAGCGTGACATTGTGAAACCAAGAGGTGTTTTTATCAGCAGGAAACCAGTGCCACCAGCTTCACAACAGGCTGAACACGTTTAATAGGGTCACTGCTGTTCCAGGCTCACCTCTGACTGTCCTCTAGCATCTTCACGGCCTCTTTCAAGTTTTTTCCCATCTCAGCTAATGTAGGGTCTGCTATCTGGGAAACAAATCAAAAAAGATTAAATTGCAATAATCCTGTATTGCTTCTGCAATGTAATTCATCCAGAAAAATTAAACTGAAGTCCATTTTCTTCTGGATTTATTCTAAAACACATGGATTTATTATAAAGTACATGTTTTAAAGGTTCTCTATTTTCGTTAAATTTTTAAAAGATTTTATTTATTTATTCTAGGGAGAGGGATAGAGTGCGCACGCACAGATGGTGGGAGAGGCAGAGCGAGAGAGAATCCCAAACAGACTCCTTGCTGAGTACGGAGCCCAACATGGGGCTCAATCTCATGACCCGGTATCATGACCTGAGCCAAAACCAACAGTCAGACGCCTAACCGACTGACCCATCCAGAAGCCCCTAAAATACATTTGATTTTAAAATTCGAAAGTACAAACATGTAATGTAAAAAAAGTCCACCAGTCCTACTCCCCAGAGGAAGCCACACAAGTTTGGTATGTATCTTTCCAAACTCACATCTTACCCCTATGAACCCCTGCAACTTGCATTTTTCTACTATATAGTGAATATGGTTCCATGTCAGTATATATCCACTTCATTTGTAGTGAGTGGTAACACCATATTCCACTCTATGGATATTTCATCATTTAACCAGTCTTGAATTAATGTTAGATTATGCCAGTTTTACACTCTTAGAAGCAAGGTTCAGAAAAGTATGTATAGTATGCTATTTGTTTTATTGCTGTAGTAGGCTGAAAAATGGCCTCCCAAAAGATAATTACATCACAATACCCTGGAACTTGTGAATGTTACCTTATATGGCAAAGTCCTTGCAGATGTGATTAAGTTAAAGATCTAGAGATGGTGAGATTACCCTGAATTGTCCAGGTGAGCTCTAAATGCAGTCACATGCATCCAGGTAAGAGAGAAGTAGGAGAGTGTACACACACACACACACACACACACACACGAGAAGGCTATGTGAAGACAGAGCAGAAGGAGATTTGGTCTCAAAAATTGGAGTGATGGGGCCGCAAACCAAGGAATGAATGTTGGCAGGCAACATAAACTGGCACAAGAAAGGAAGGGACTCTCCCCTAGAACCTCTGGAGGGAGTTCAGCCCTGCCAACACCTTGACAGTGATACAGATTTCAAACTACTAGCCTCCAGAACTGTGGGAAAATACATTTCTGTTGTCCTAAGGCACCTAGTTCGTGCTCATTTGTCACAGTAGCCAAAGGAAACTAATATCCTCATAAATCTGGAAGTGATTCCATAAACTCTGGAAGCTTACACAACTGGTCATGGTGACTGCCTCCAGAGAAGGGAACTGGAAGGATGGGCATCAGATGAGAGGGAGTCTTTTCAACTCACATCTTTTTGTTCTTTTCGGATTTTAGTACCAAGTGTACTTCTAGCTCCTATTCAAAAGATAAATAAGACAAAAATTTAAAAAATCTTACAAAATTAAACACACAAACTCATTTTCCTTTCTTTCTTCTTAATCTCCTTAGCAGTCTTAAGGCAGACAATCTGGTTGTCTCGAATCTCCATACAAGTTGGGTTATAGATAGTTACGGAGACTTTCTTTTGTTCCCCTCTTACTCTTCAAGTGTATTTATGCTCTTTTCCCTTCAGACTGCTTACTGTACCTAATCTTATTAAGTGTACAATGGATTGTATTACAGTTAGTACTGCAGTATATCCTCAAAAAAAATTTTTTTTAAAGAGGAGACGAGGAGAGAATTTTTTTCTTTTAATTTACTTGACAGAGAGAGACACAGCGAGAGAGGGAACACAAGCAGGGGGAGTGGGAGAGGGAGAAGCAGGCTTCCCGTGGAGCAGGGAGCCCGATGCGGG